TAGACAAATGCACTTCATTTCGTTCCAGATCACTTTTTGGACAAAATATAATTTTATGAGATTCAGATGTACCCGGATCTCTGAATGGACATTGTAACAAATGTCAATAAAACCAAAAAAGTTATGATGAATTAACAAATGCATTCATTTCATTGGTTTAAATCAGGTAACGTCACATAATGCAATAGTAGTTCGGGCCCATGGCAAAAATTAATTCATTTTTCAAATTTGTTTGATTATTCGAATTCAAGTAAATTTGTGATTTAAATTGAATTTGTAATTGTCAAAGTCAGTCAATTCAGTTTCACAGTCGATTGCAATTCTTAGGTTTGAAAAATTCAGGGGTGCCAAATTTTGCGTTATATTTATTCTTTTGCTCTGAAAATATCAAATAGTATATAAATAATGAATACACCCGAAATATTGAAACCAAAAACTAATATACAGCAATCTTCATAAAAAAACTGCAAAATTTTTCGAATCTACCCAGACCTATGAATATACGAAACGAATGCTGAAGATACAAAATTAATTTAGAAAATGCATTGGGTCAGCATAACAAATATGGCAAAATTAAATTCTTCAATGAACAAATGCATCCGAAATAAAAACTACATGGAAATTTCTGGCATGCACATGTTTACTGCATCTCCTGAGACACTGCATATACTGTATGTAGAGTTTTATTACCACACAGTTGCAAAACTGCATCCATTAAAGGATAAGTTCACCTTTCATAACATGTTACACCCATATTCAGGGTATAACATGTAATATGTTATGAACATACTGGCCCCTGCTCCCCTTTGTGACAGTTAACGGGGGATCTTCTCCTCCCCGCTAGCTGTCACAATTACAAAAAAAAAATGCTAGGCCCCCAGCTGCGTCATTCATTCACAATTTTCTGTGAATCAATAAAGTACCACGGAGCTGTGGAGCACCATGGTAGTTCATTCATTTTCCTGTCAGTATATCTGCTTTCCCATACGTCCTGTAAGCAAGCAGAGATACTGACAGGTCTGCAGGAGACCTGCGTGGCACCAGCAATCTGCTGATTGCTGGTGCGATGCTTTAGAGGCTCAAGAAACAAAAAATAACAAATGCAAATTTTTGTACCTGCAAGAAAATGGGCAGTTATTATTTTTTGTATAAAGGTAAATTTATTCTTTAAGATTTGTTTTACCTTTTGGAATTAAGGGATTAAACAGACAATTCAGTTTGATAACACTGAAGAGGGGTTAAAGAGGGATCTACACTTTTCCTTATAATGTTAATTACTGATGTTACTGCAACTCTATAAACTGGATTCCTGATATATTACTCTACCTTGGTATGATCCACATTGTGAACTTTTCTAGTTCACAGAATGGTTATAGCTTACATTTTCTGTGCCATGGTCTCTGGAAACATAAATGTTGACCCTCATAGATTATCGAGTCTGAATTGGCCCCATTTTTGATGCAGATGCTTTTATATCTGCTCCCAGAGCCCTTTCTAATGGAGTTTTTATTGCAGCAGATATCATTGACTCCAGAAATGCACCGAAATGCCTTAAACAAGAGTCAAAATATTTTCATCCACTAAAATGAATGGTGCCTGGCAGCGGCGGACTGACAAATCATGGGGTCCCTGGGCAATAGCGGATCATGGGGCCCCTGTGTCCTTGCCCAAACTCAAATAAGCCTATGAAAAAGGTACCAGGGGCATCTCATGGGGCCCCCTACTGACCCCGGGCCCTCGGGCAGTGCCCGAGTTTCCAAACTGTCAGTCCTCCCCTGGTGCCTGGATAAACCAAGATTCCAGCTGCTCTGTTACCTAGCCACCAAAGGATATTCTCCTTACATCTTATTTCACACCTTTTCTAGGCATTTTGTGAATTACAGAATTCTTGCAGTAGATGGGGGCATTCAAGGGGAGCCTTAAAAAACGTTTGTACCCTAAAAATGTTAAAAACCTTAATTAAGTATTTGGTGATTAGATATGTGCACTCCGAAAATGTTAATTGCATTTCATTTGTTCTTTGAAGAATTTTGTTTTGTCATATTTGCTATGTTGAACCAATTCATTTTCAGAATTCATTTCATATCTTTCATTTTGCATTCATTTTACGTATTTGTTGCTCCGGGTGGATTGGAAAACTTTGCAGTTTGTCTGGAAGATTGCTATATATTTGATATTTTATCTAATCAGATGGATGCGAATTGGAAGGATTCAATATTTTCAGACGCTAGTCCAACCCACCAAGAGAAATGGCATGAGCTGATTGGGCAATGTCAAAACAAACAGCAACTGCCCCAACCTATAACTGGCCTTTGCAGCATGAAGCACTTAGAAGGGCAACGCATTTCAAACAGCAACAAAGAAAAATTCCCAGCTCACTTACCATCCAGCCTGCAACAAACTGAATCACCCTAACAGTTCACGATAAAAAAATGGGTTTAGTTTGCAGACATTTGCAAATAAATGCATAAACTGTAGAGGCCACGTCACGGCACCCCAGTATATTCTGCTGTCCTAACTCTATAAATTTTGAGAGCCTCCAAAAAAGGAGCACATATATAATAATGGATGGATTGAGTGCAGGTATGCCTGGAGGGAGCCCACCCCTCCTTAAAGGTACAGGGACACACTGAACTCCCAGCACAATGGCAGTGAAGGTATGCAGTGTGGCCCATCAACAATTAACCATCAGTACAAACGGCAACTGCCCCAACCTTTAACTGGTCTTTGCAGCTAGGAGCACATGGAAAGGTGACACATGGCAAACAATATTGACTGGCATCATGTGCATCCGAATTAACAAATGGAACAACATTCAGATCCATTCATTATCTGAATCTGAATTATTGAACAAATTTGAAAAATAAAGTAATTTTCCCATGAGCCCGAGCTAATATTGCATTTTTGACGTCATCCAAATGAAACAAATGCATCAGTTAATTTCGTTATACCTTTTTATTTTGATTCGCTGACATTCGATACTATGTCCATTGGGAGATTCGTATACATTCGAATCTCTGGAAATTGTATTTTTATCTGGAAAAGGAATCTTAATGAAAGCACATGTCTATTGGTGATTCTGCCTATTAAAAAGAACAATACTATTTGGCTCTACAAGCATTTTAGAGACTTAATAATTTCTAATGATAAGCTTTATGGCCCCTCCATATTCTTCTTTAAAGAGATACTAACGTTTCAGTTTTTTTCTTAAAATAAAAAACATGTTATACTTACCTGCTCTGTGTAATGGTTTTGCAAAGAGCAACCCCTATCCTCCTCTTTTCAGGCCCCCTGCTGGCGTTCCTGGCTCCTTCTTCCTGTTGGGTACCTCCATAGTAAGCAGCTTGCTATGGGGGCTCCCAAGCAGGCGCACTCCCGAACCGCTGCTCCGTGCATTCATTCACACATGGAGCTGCAGCTTAGCCCCCCCCCCTCTGTCTCCTTATTGGCTCACTGGCTGTGATTGAACTAGACTAAGTGCTGCACTATACAGAGTGGTCATGACAAGGCTTTTGCTGGAATTTGCAGATGTCGCAAAACTAAAACATTTGGTTAGACTGTTTGATTTTATTAGATTACTGACCATCAAAGAATTCATGTGAGAGCAGTACAGCTGGCTGCAGATAGCAGTTGCGGGATCCATACCAGTAGCAGTGCCTTTTTGGTGTTTCTTTGTAAGACGCGATATTATACATCACACATGTGAGTAGAATACTTGGATATTGTTTTATCCATAAATGTTTTGTAAGGGTAAAGCACTATGTTTTGGTCATCTCTTTTTGGCATTTATCTGATGGAGGAGGACAGCTAGGAGAGTGGAGGAGACTCATGCTTATTGGACATCTCAGACATCTCATATCAGTCCACACAAAGGACACATGCTATATATGACCTCACCAGGGGTGGACTGACCATTTGAAAACTCGGGCACTGCCCGAGGGCCTGGGGTCAGTAGGGGGTCCCATGAGATGCCCCTGGTACCTTTTTCATAGGCTTTTTTGAGTTTGGGCAAGGACACAAGGGCCCCATGATCCCCTATTGCCCGGGAGCCCCATGAGTTGTCAGTCCGCCCCTGGACCTCACTCAGCAATTTGGTTATATACATCAGGTGAGAGCACATCCAGTGGGGGTTTACACACATCGGTTTACAGTGTATAATCGCACGAGGTGTTCTAAGAAGTTATTTGTTATTCAAGCATCTGTGAAAATATATAACCATATAGAATACCAATGCATGGACACTGATTAGGAGACATTTATGCTGATTGTTTTGGTTTAAATCAATAGTGAAGCGCGGCACTTGATTGATATTTTAGGTTATATAACACATTTTGAATGGGAATGTGCATGGTGTGAGCGATTCACAATCTCATTTTATTTTATTTCAATTTTTTTTTCTATTAATATTTGATTTTCCATATTATTTAGCATCACTATTTGGCATAGCAGCTCACAAAATTCTGCACTTTAACCACTTGCCTACTGGGCACTTATACCCCCTTCCTTACCAGGTCAATTTTCATCTTTCAGCGCTGTCGCACTTTGAATGACAATTGCTCGGTCATGCAACATTGTACTCATATGAAATTTTTATAATTTTTTTTCTCACAAATAAAGCTTTCTTTTGGTGGTATTTACTCGCTGCTGGGTGTTTTATTCTTTGTGCTATAAACAAAAAAGTGCAAGAAAAAAGTTTCTTTGTTTCTGTTATAAAATTTAGCAAACAGGTAATTTTTCTTCTTCACTGATGTCGTCGATGAGGCTGCACTGATAGGCGGCACTGATGGGCACTGATAGGAGGCACTGATTGGCAGCACTGACTGGCGGCACTGCTGGGCTGCACTGACTGGCTGCACTGATGGGCACTGGTGGGCACTGATTGGCACAGGTGGGTGGCACTGGTGGGTGGCACAGGTGGGCAGCACTTCTGGGCACTGACTTGCAGCACTGCTGGGCACTGACTGGCGGCACTGCTGGGTGGCACTGCTGGGCTGCACTGATGGGCACTGGTGGGTGGCACTGATGGGCACTAGTGGATGGCACTGATGGGCACTGGTGGGTGGCACTGATGGGCAATGGTGGGTGGCAATGATGGGCACTAGTGGACGGCACTGAGGGGCACTGGTGGGTGGCACTGATGGTCACTGGTGGGTGGCACTGATGGGCACTGGTGGGTGGCACTGGTGGGTGGCACTGGTGGGCACAGGTGTGTGGCACTGCTGGGCACAGGTGGGCGGCACTGCTGGGCACTTGTGGACGGAACTGGTGGATGGCACTGCTGGGCACTGATCATCAGGGCACTAATCATCAGTGCCCTGATGATTGGTGCCGATCCCTGCTCTGACAACTGCCGCTTCTCGGCAATACTTTCCTCATGCGCTGACAGTGTGAGGAAAGTGCAGCCGAGAACCGGCAATTGCATTTCCCGGTGATCAGCGTGTCATTGGACACAGCTGATCACGTGGTAAAGGCCGCTGTGATTGACCTTTTACCACATCACGTGATCAGTTGGGTCCTTAGGACACAGCGATCATGGAGATCGCCCGGTGTGGGCCCCTGGGGGGCACGCAGGAGAGCGCATTCTGGGAGAACGTCATATGACAGCGTCCCAGAACTGGACTGCCGCAGTGCAGCTGTCATTCGGCTATCTGCGGTTGGCAACTAGTTAAGCAGGAGCCACTGCTGGCTCAGCCAATGAGGAGGCAGAGACCCGGGACAGCCGAGACTGTCATGCGCATCGCTGGATCTCGATGGGGCTCAGGTAAGTATTAGGGGGGTACTGCTGCATACAGAAAGGTTTTTTACCTTCATGCATAGAATGCATGAAGGTAAAAAATCTGGAGCCTTTACAACCACTTTAAATTAATTAAGGTTTAAGATCCTGTAAAAAGATCTCACTGCTCCTTACTGAGTGCAGAATGTCTCTTATTTAGATGTTTTGAAAAAAGTTTTTCTTTTTTTCTTTATTTTTCTTTTCCATTGTCTCCCTCCCCATTTTGGCAATATCACTGTAAAAGATAAGCCCCCTAACAACAATATCACATTATGAGGTAACCCTTTCTATTTTCAGTCTTTTTCAGAGACTTACATTGATCCAAAACACCCACAGACCACAAAGATACACCCTCCAAAAAACTCAGAGTGACCTGAAAAAGCACTGTATGTACTCTTACCCCTCCAATAGGTTTTTAATTACTTACAGGCACTCTATACCAAAATTGGCCAACAGTGACCCAATAGCACCTAGAGGTCAAGAAAGAAGCCTTCCAACCCCTTCCCTTCATTTAGGTATTTATTCATGAATAGACTTATCTCTACATGACTATGCAGAAACAATCTTTGACAAAACATGCAAATCATGTGGTGTAGTACTGTATTTGCCACTGTCTAATTGAACAAAGCAGGCAAATTATACCAAAAATGGCCCACAGCAACCCAACAACAGTGAGTGAACATGAAAGTTGCCTTTCCATTGATCATGTAGTTTCATGGTGTAATTTTTGTGCCTTGTATGCACAGCACATAGTAGAGTAAATATTCACATTACTTTGTCAGCAGTTTTTGAATGTGTTCAAACAGGAGACATGCTGCACGGCATGACCTCTGTCTGTAGTCTACGAACTGACACTTCCTGTGAAAAACTACATATCCCACAATCCCTGGGTCTCCCAGTCTATTGTTCTACAGAAGAAAACTATATTAGGTCTGACACAGTCAGAGCAATGAAGACACAAGATGTGTTTCATCACATTAGCACTCCCACATTTATGATGCAGCACAGATAAATGGCAAGGCACTGACTGGGCGTGGCATGACCTAGAACAAGAATTTTCCTGTCCTTTTGGTGAATAGGGACAAGCTAGGTGAATGAATATATGGACATGGGGGGGGGGGGGGTCAGCCATAACACTTCAAACTGCAGCAGCAACATGTGAGCCCATCATTACAAGGTAAGGCAAACAAACAACAAATAATATAAGTAGACTAATACCTAGTTAAAACAGCAAAACCACTTGAAAGTGTACAATGCCTTTAATCATTAGATAAGAGAGAAAGCACTGCTCTATCAAATAGGAAATCACATTTCCTTTTCTGTAGTTTCAGCCCAACACAAAATCAATTCTAGTTCCAAAATACAAACAGTAGGTTGCAAAGATAAACCACTCAATAAGCTCCTGTTTGGTTCAATGAATGAGTACCAGTATAAGATATGGCTTCCCACCAATCCCTTGGATAATGAATAAACAAACACATAAGGGAAAGGAGTAAAAGGTGTGAAGAGCAGATGAGCAATAGAGACATGAAAGAAGAAACGAGAGGGAAGAAGAATGAACATCAGTAGAAGTGCCCTTTAATGCATTATGAACATCTGCATCTTGTCTGACAGTGTGAAGATCACTGGCGTCGCTGGCTTAGAGCTATATCTTTAGATGTACAATTTATGGGACCATAGATAGAACCCAAAAAAAATTAACATAAATAATTACAAACAACACAATTCATGGATTGAAATGGCCGCTTCCAAATATTATTGGTGAATATAAAAACAACATAAACAATAAATAATTGTATTTGTATATGTTTGTATATAATATAAACAAACACATACTGGTAATAACGCACAGATATTAACCACTTGCCCTCCAGAGGATTTACCTCCCTTCCTGTCCAGACCATTGTTTGCGTTATTGCGCTGCGTTACTTTAATTGACAATTGCGCTGTCATGCATCGCTGCACTCAAATGAAATTTGCATCCTTTTTATTTTCCACAAATAGAGCTTTCTTTCAGTGGTATTTTATCGCCTGTGTGTTTTTTATTTTTTGAGCAATAAAACAAAAATGACAATTTTGACAAAATGTCCAGTAAAACATTTTTAAAAATCAAATTTTGTCATAAATTTAGGTCAAAATGTATTCTGCTACATGTCTTTGCTAAAACAAATCCCAATATGTGTAAAATTGGTTTACGTGAAAGTTATAGCATTTACAAATGGTGGTATAGATACTGGATTTTTTTTTTACGAGTAATGGCGGCAAACAGTGACTTATAGTGACACTGGGGGAAACTGACTTGGTGTCACTGACATCCCCAGTGACACCAAATGCAGCGATCAGTGCTAATAAAAAGCACTGACGCTGTACTAAGGGCACTGGGCAAGAAGGGGTTAACATGTGGGGCGATCAAAGGGTTAACTGTGTGCTGTATGTTGTTTCACAGTAAGCTGTGTCTGTGCTTTCAGCTGTAAGCACACTGCTTTGTATGGCTCTGCTATGCTGACAGGGGAGAGAACTGTATTGTTTACATACAGTTCTCTCCCCCTTTTGGTAATATTCGGCGATCACCGGTTGTCAGCGAGTAATCACTGGCTGGTACCCGGTGATTGACAGCCGAGGCCGTGAATAACGGCGTGCATAGGGCACACCCCACCACACCCAGGAATGTAAAATCACATATACAGTATATATATATATATATATATATATATACACGTGATTTTGCGCACCCCTGCCGCCCTGTAGCAGTATTTCTGCTATAGGGCGGTGGGAAAGCAGTTAAACCATAAAATATAGCTCAGCCATTACAGCTTGGACAATCATACATTTTATTAATGTATGTAACTGTCCCCTTCAAGAGAAGAGCCTAAACCACATACCATAAGACCACAACAAAGGGCAGGAGGGTGGGACGCTTCTGTTTGGCTGTCAGCTGCTGCTCTGAGCTAACTTTGCACTTCTCTTTTGATAGGATGGCTGCACCTCATGACAGGACCGTTTGAGCAACAGACTGTACATCACATGACAGGTAAGACTATTAAGGGAGTGTACATTAACATACATCATTTTTTGGGTTCTGTCATGGTCCCATGGGTGTGGTGGCCCAAATTGTTGTGATCCCCTTAAAAAGCAATCTTTTTTCAATCATTTAATAGGTTTTTACCAATGTTGGAGGTGCTCTATATATACCCTTAATGTGTGTAAAACAAGGAGGGTTGATTTATTTACATCAACTACCACATCCAAAAAAGTTTTCATATTATATCATTTATTACGTGCACCACCAAAGGGGTTGTGTGCTTGTTGCAGTGTAAATGCGGCCTGCAATATATTGGCCGCACCACTAGACCCCTTAGTGTCCATTTAGGAGAACATGTTGGGAATATTAAAAAGGGATTTAGAGGATATAGTGTTTCTAAACACTATGCAGAGGTTCACAATAAAGACCCATCTGGTATGATTTTTCTTCGGTATAGATAAATATACTCCTCGATGGAGAGGGGGGTCTTAACAAAAGAAATTTCAAGAATGGAAATTAAATGGATATTTAAGGTCAAATCCTATTCTCCATGTGGTTTGAACATAGATTGAGACGTCAATGCATTTATTAATAATGCGTAATACGTCTTTCAGTACTCCCTTCTCTCCTTTTCTATTAGTATATATATATTGCATGTGATATTAGAGGGAGGGGATTTTTTTTTATTCATTCTTCTTGTTTGGTAGCATTTATTTGTTTAGAACATTTTAATATTTTTTTATATGGTGTATCATATACGTGTTCTCTTTTTTGCCTCGGATGAATTGTTCCTTGATTTTGGTGCTATAATGATGGACATCCTCTGGGGGGAGTTTACTTAGCCACTTTTGAGCCGCCACTTTTGTACTACTGCGGATGGGCGGCAGCTACAGGACCAGCGACTTACCCATAAGTTGCTGGTCTTTTGTCCTATTTTGGAGATGGCCCAACTCCATAGTAGTTTATGGAGTCTTGGGATTGGTTTACATCTTCCCTCGATTTCTTATTTAGGGTGTAGTAATGCTTTGCTCCTTCAGGGGGAGTGTAAGTTGTTTACATTCTTCTATTACGTATGAGACTTAGCCCTATTATAGGTTTAGAATTTGGAGGTGTTCAGGTTGAGGCTTGGTTGCTGCTTTTCAAAACTAGGCTTGATTTTGCCTCAGCTGTCTATTTGAGTGGTGGCGCAGTATGGCGCTCCGGGCCCCAGAAGACATCACCTGTGACGAAGCGCATAGGCAGGAGCTACATGCTGACATCACCGCATATCAGGAAACAGTGGAGTCCTGTATTGTAGGTGCCAGACAGCTTTTATACATGTGATTTGTCCTATTATATCATGTAAGTGCAATAATTTTATTAAAGAGGCTTGTTTTTTTAAGAATTTACATCATGTGGAGCCTTTTTTTTGTCCCTTGAGTTTTCATGGAAGAATATTGATCTTATAGAGTAATTTCTTGCCTGGTCCTTCACCCAACTGGTCAGTCCATATATGAAGTTGGATGTATATGGAAGTCTAGTGGAGCTCGTGGTACACATATGAGTGTTTTGACTTCTCTAGTTACAGAGTCAAAACTTTTTGGTAAGCGCAATACCATTTACAGTGGGGCAAAAAAGTATTTAGTCA